TACGTGCCCCATGCCCGTGCCCCTATGCCCGTGCCCCTGTGCTGACCGCCCCTCTCTGGTGCCTGGTGTCGGCTGTCTCCACACCTCCCGCTCTTCCTGGGTGTCTGTGCCTCTCCTCTCGCTCCCTTCCAAGTGCTCCAGGCGGTGCGTCCCGCACCCAAAAAGCGGTTTAACCCATTGATCACTCAGGTTGTGGTTAGGCTTCAGCCGGCGTGGTGCCGTGTGGGTGGGGACAGCTGTGCTGACCGCCCCTCTCTGGTGCCTGGTGTCGGCTGTCTCCACACCTCCCGCTCTTCCTGGGTGTCTGTGCCTCTCCTCTCGCTCCCTTCCAAGTGCTCCAGGCGGTGCGTCCCGCACCCAAAAAGCGGTTTAACCCATTGATCACTCAGGTTGTGGTTAGGCTTCAGCCGGCGTGGTGCCGTGTGGGTGGGGACAGTCAGCTCGGAGCTAGTGCTCCTCGAATTAGAAGCAACCTCAGACTGTCAGCCATAGCAGCCCCAGCGCCACCCAGCACCGCCCTGCAGCTGGGATCTGTCCTGGCTCTGCGGAAAGGGAAGCCGAGGCACCGGGAGGGGAAGTGCTGGATTGGAGTCCAGCCGCACAGAGCGGAGGGCTCCTGGGCGTCTGCCTCGTCCCAGCCTGAGCGGCCGGGCTCTCCTGGCCCGGGTTCCTCTGGGCGATGCCGAGCTCTGCACGGAGCAGCCCGCCCCCAGGGCAGTTGTCACGCAGGCCCGGCCTCCACTGCGTCCTGGTCGCTGCCTCGCAGACCCGAGGAGCTGCCCCACCTCCAGGCGTGAGGGGCGCCCATGCTGTCCCAGGAGGAGGGGGCCGCTTTCTTTTTTTCTTAATATGTTTTTGTTGATCTCAGAGAGGAAGGGAGAGGGAGAGAGAGATGGAAACATCCGTGATGAGAGAGAACCATGGATTGGCTGCCCCCTGCACGCCCCACACGGGATGGAGCCCACAACCCGGGCCTGTGCCCTGACCGGGAATGGCACCGTGACCTCCTGGTTCATAGGCTGACGCTCAATCCCTGAGCCACGCCGGCCGGCGAGGGTCTGGTTTCTTGACCATCTTGGTAGCTGAGGGGGTTGGTGCGGTTCTGCCTGGCTGTCACTCTTTGGAACCTGGCATCTAGTTGGAAAGCACTGCCCCGCGGTCGGGAGCACAGCTGGCCCTCTCTCGGAGTGAGCTCACAGGAGACAGGATGCACCGTCCGCTCACGGGTGGGAGCCGCGTGGCG